TTTTAATTTAAACAGAAATCTTTCGAAAATGCTTAAAATTAGGCATTTTCTTAAAACATCTGCATAATTGGTGCTTTCAATAAAATTTCAAAATGTTCTTTAATAATTTTTTAAAAAATGTTGAAAATTAGGCAGATTTTATTTCCAGACTGCTTTTAGATTATGAAAAATTTGATACATTTTGGAAGCTTTCGTCTTCAAGGAGCAGTGTAGGTAAATGTTCTTTACCCGACTGCATTTATATTATGAATTTGTTTTATATATTTGAAAGAATCTACTACAAACCTTTCTTATTTAAGGAGCAATGTAGGCAAAGTTCATTTCCATATTGTGCTTATGTTATGAAAACTTTTATATGATTTGAAAGAAACTGGCATAAACCTTTCTTGTTCAAGGAGCAATGTAAGCAAAGTTCATTTCCAGACTGTGTTTAAGGAGTGTTGGAACCCAAAAATCTTCAAAAAATGGTGATTTTGAATTTTTGCATTTTCAAATTCTCTACACTTTTATCTTTCTAAAAATACCATTCTTTAATCTCTATGAAAATTAGAACTGTAAAAAATCCAGTTTTAATTTGTCATCGACTGCTTTGATCAATGAGGAATTTTACATAAAAACGCGCGCGTGAGTCTCTGTATCGGAAATTCTAAAGATATGCTCGTTTTAAAACTATTTTGCGATATTGCTGTTGCACTGGATCTTATGGTTTAAGTGCGAGGAACATGATATTTAATAAAGAAAGGTTAACACACAAAATGTTAAAAAAACGCCCCTTTGACCGTACGTAATTTAAAATCTGAAACATTTCAGATTTTTTTTTTTTGTTTTATTTGCTTAATTTCTTTTATACATAATTCTAGCTTTATTAATAGTATTTGAATAGAACATGTGGCAACGATTAGATAATTCTTTAAATGATATACATTTTGTGCATTCTGAGTTATAATATGAACGAAATATAATACTGTTAAGTAAACCTAGCGCCAGAGTGTCGCTATGGTAAAGAAAGTGAATTTTAAAGAATGCTTTTATTCTATTGTGGTTTATGCGCTGTCGGAGAAGAAGTAGGTTTAATTCAATCTAATAAGTTTAAATAAAATGCAAGAAAAAATGCGTATAATTTAATATTCCGTACAAGGAAGTCATGTGGTGTACACATCAGATTTTTTCTTTAGGCGGCAAGATAGGCAAAGAGCATTTTCATGCATTTATATGACGAAAACATTTTATATGTCTTGAAAGAAACTAGCATAAAAGTTTCTTCTTCAAGGAAGAATGTAATTAATGTAATTATTTGCAACTGATCTGCAGAATATTTCTTTTTGGTCTAGGAGGAAATCAGTGTTAGATTCTTTTCTATTTGGATAAAATAATATCTGAAATACAATTTGTTTTATCTAAATGAGTCTAAAGGGTATGCTAGTATATCGTAATGGATAATGTAAGCAACGTACTATAGAGTTGAGTATTAAAGCAAGTAGCATACAAAACGTTTTGTAGTGCATTAAAATGTATGAAAAGGTATTACATAAGTTTTTAACCAGTTATTGTATGATGATTCTCTATCCTTTTGCTCTATTTTCCATTTTCCTGTCAGAATGTAAATTTCTGGCTTCCGCGATATTCAACTGAGGTAGAAAGAAAAGGCTTTTTAAAGAAAGATTTTAGACAATAGACTCAGAGCGTGTTCTGCCTGCTTGAAGGTCACGCTTCTAAATTTGATTCTCTGGCGATTAGTATTCTGCTTCGTTGAATTATTCTTGCCATTAGGCCTTTTTTATGCTGACCTCTGTTATAATTACAAAACATTGGGATAATTCACTGATAGTCTTTTGGATCTAGTTTGTGTTACCGAAGAACACAAACTCTGTAGTACTTAGATGCATTCTAAAGCGTATTTTAAGTTTAGGTTTGGTTTGGTTTGGTTTATATGATTACGGCAAAGTCTCGAGGGATATGTGCCTTCATGGAGGAAGGAAAATTGGTTTGTACTTGTATATACGTTACAGATGAGGAAAACCTCGAAAATGCCCATGCAGTCAGTCCGTTCGCGGGATTTGACCTCAGACAGAACTATCAGTATTCAGTGACTTTTCCGCTCGGCCGCCTGGTGGTCCTATTTTAAGTTCAGACTCAATCTGTCTTGTAAAGTTAGACACATTCGCTCGTATTGTGTCCAAAATAAATATCTGTTTGAAGTTTAGAATTTTGTAAATTTTATTTGAATTACTTCCCTTACTTGTATAATTAAAAGTCATGTTTTCTTTGCTATTATCCATACAGGCATATAGTGTACGTTAATTAACAGAAGAATTGTAAACTTCATAAAATAAATTTAAGAATTAAGTGAGTCTAAATGTTTAAAATAAAATCTACATTACTCTGACGGAATTCTCCTACCTTTCATTAGTTTAACTGCCCAACAGCGGCCGAGCGGTAAAATCGCTGAACACTGGTAGTTCGGTCAGAGGTTCGAATCCCGCGAACGGGCTCGCCGCGTGGGCGTTTTCGTGGTTTTCCCATGTGGTAACATGCATACGAGCCAGTTTCCCTTAGAAAGTCCTCCACGAAGGCATCCCTCCCCTTAGGCAGATAGCCCTAGTGTGCTTTGCCGTAATTAAATAAGCCAAACTATTAGTTTAATCACGTTTAAAATCCAGGTATTTAAAGAAAGTTTATATATTTTGTTTTAAGATTCCAAATCTTTATATTCATTTACTTTACAGAAAGTGCTTAAGAATACGAATTCCTGCATCTAAAGATGTTAAAGAAATTTGTTTCATTTAAGGCATTTTCAAAGTTATTAAAATAGAAATAGCACGGAATTCGTACAAATGAATACTTAGAAATTAAAGCATTTTAACAATTTACTTCTTTAACTGTATTTGCTTTTTAATCTGGCAGTTTTAGCAAAACATAAATTTTAATAAGTTTCCATTGAACAGAATTTTACAGTTAGCATATTTCAGTACATTTAATTACGTTGGATTATTAATCACAGCCCGAGGGAAACTCTTAAAGCTTGTGAGGACGAAGAGTTTTACTTGTCTGGCAAGTATTTGCAGCAGGATATTAGTATTGACATTATATTTCCAATATTGGAAATTGCGTCAACTTAGATGTCGTCTCACTAAAGAGAATCATCTGTCATCTGCCATTTTAGTAGATTTGAACAAACTTTAAAATACTTTAGAGGAGATAGGTAAAATATATTTAAAAGAGCTTAAAATATTCATAAAATAATTATTTATGTGGAAGTTTTGTAGGAAATAAAAATTTGTACTTTACTCCCGAAAAGTTACGTTATTCCCTGAAGACGAATTAAGCCATGCATAACAATTAAGGAAAAATGTTTTCGTGGGTTTCTTAATTATGGGTCTTACTTTAAAGATTTGACTTAGTATTTACAGTGACTGAAATTTAAAAAAAGAATATTAAACTCTCGAGTTGATTGAGAGGAAGTTTTCAAGCTTAATGTATGATGCTGCGAATGTATAATGCATGCTACTACTACAAGCTACGAAATGTATGATGAATATGAGTCTTTTGCTTGAATTAGTTTGGTCCCTATTCATATATATTTTTCCTGAAGCAATTTAGACTTCCAACAATTTTCATGCCAAAGAACAAAATGAAAGCAAATATATTAATTAATAAGGAGTATATGGAGTAATTAGTGAGTTAGAAATTAAAATTTCACATGTTAGACTTTAATTTCTCAGTAGCCATACCATGAAAAGCTCATACCACCATTTATTAAATTTTCCTCATATGAATGATTTGATACAATAATTATAGTGCTGATATCAAAATTACTTTATAATGATAACATAATAATTTTGTATTTATAATATAATTATCATTTAATTTATTTTTTTCAAATTTCAGATGCCATATGGTAGTTAAGGTATTTGTCATTTTATCACATATACTTTGGCAATTTACTCTTTATTAAATTATCAAAATAGATTTTCTTTAATTCCTAGTTTTAATATCTTGATCTTCGTTATTTACGAATGATATCATTCATTTGTAAATAATTATGAATATTTCCATTATCAACAAAAATTCATTTAAATTTCGCAAGGTGATATTTTTATTGCAGCTTTAATTTAAAAAAATGCAGGATTATCGGAAAAAAACAGCTGAGAATTTAATATTCATGAAAAATTTAATCAAATTTGTCAAAAATAATAAAATCTGAAAGGTCTCAGATTTAAATTACGTCCAAAGGGGCATTTTTTAACGTTTTGTGTGTTACCTTTATTTATTAAATATCATGTTCTACGTACTCAAACCATAAAATTCAGTTCAACAGCAATATAATGAGCATCTTTAACATTTCTGATACAGAGTATCGGGCGATGGAGAAAAAATATTTTTTTTTCGTACAGTGTTGCCATTGCTCGCTTTGAAATTGTTCAGTTTGTTAGTCAAAAATTCTCTAAATTATTTCAAGAAATGAAACCGATAATTAAACAAACACCAAATCCCAAATTAAGGCTTCCACATGCCCATATTCTATGGAAGATTACGTTATTCTAATTTTTATGGCTCCAGGTACCGTTGTTTTATCACAGTGCGATAAACATGCATACATTGATGCAGATTCTTCGTGATTTAATTTCTTTAAATATAACACAGGGCGATAATATTTTGGTGGCAAGACTTTGAAAAGTGAAACAACACTCATCGTTAATGCACGCAAAACGCCGAAACGAAATTAATATTCCTTCTGGGAAAAATTCCCTTTTGGACTAAAAATCTTAAATTCTTCATTCTTCGTCTCCAAGACTTAGGCCCTGAAAAACTTCTTATTTACATATTTCGCCACATTATAAAAATTTTTAATTATTTCGATGAGCTTTGCAGTTTTGAAATTATATATTACAAAAACCTTAACATTCTCTTTCGGTGACTTCGTAATTTAAATCATGTTCTACTTATAGATGTAATGCTATGACATAAAACCGACCATTCTAATTCATTTAATTTTTCAGATGCACCTTGGAAAAGAAGAAGGCCTCGAGAGCAGTGCCTTGCTCCTTCTCCAGGCTTACCTAGGCATGGCATCTTGCCTAGGCAGCACAGCACTGGGTTTCATTGTTGTCAAGAACAGCATGCAGTGCCTAATTGCAAAGCAATACCTCACGCAAGCGTCAATATTCATTATGGGTGGTGCCATCTTGGCCTTCATATCCTTGAAAGAATACAGTGGCTATGTCCTCTTCATGTGGGTGTATGGGTTTTTCTATGGAGGGTATCATTATTCTCTGAAGATCTTCACATTCGAAAAAGTCAGAGCAAGGAACTTTTCCAGGGCATGGGGATTCATACAGTGTAGCCAAGCAATACCGATGCTGATAGGCTTACCACTGACAGGTAAATATTCTTTTCATTACAACTTTATTGTATTTTATGAAATTAGTACCAAAACGTGATAAAACATTTATACAGTTTGGCTTGTCCTATGTTTGTAAATAATTATGAATTATTTACAAACAAGAAAACAAGACAAGCCTGTTTACAAGTCCTGTTTTCATGAAAGCATGATTTAAACTAGGTTTAAAAAGTAAACTCTCAGTCACTGGAAGGACTCATTTACTTGTGCTACCTCTCCGCTAGAAATACTAAAGAGTAATGAAAATAAAATGCAATAGAATATGTCCAATGCAATATGTCCAAACTGTTCTTCGTCTCTATTCCATCTGTAATTTCAGTATCTTAATTTCGTTCATTATTTTCAGATGTTATTTTAATAAGCATTCTGATTCTTTGTTCATGTAACCTATGTTCTTTGTTCATGTATCCTGATTCTTTGCTCATGTACTATGTAAATATAATACCTTTCGTTTTGCAGATTCACTTTGCTCATGTTCAAATTCAAATTCACTGTCATTATCGTGACTGCCAAGAACTTTAAAAATCATTCTCATCTTTAGGTTAATTCCATAGCTTTCTTTAACTTCTGTTATCATTCTGCCCAGGTACATTGGCCCTAGATTGCGACGTGCGTGTTGCGTGTCTAAAAATGAAAAGAAAAAAAGCATCATTTTATCTCATATTTTCAACAGTCAGCAGTCCAGTATACAAGCATTGTATGAAAAACTGTTGCCAAAACCACATTTCTAAAAAAAATGAAACTATTCAAAATGATGCAATAAAATCGAAAAGATAAAAGAAAAAACACTCTGATTCGGATTTTAAAAAATCGCTTCAAGGTGCACTGGTTGTTGTCTAGATGCACCTTTATACAAAATTTTGTAGCCCTGGGTCAATTAGCTTACTCGCTGCACGAAGGAAAGAAACACAGACTCTTTCTTTTATTATATGTAGAGATGCAATGTGCTGCAATGCATATTTATTGGAGAAAATGTTTACTAATTATTTGCTTCAGTGAATAATTGTAGTTTCAAAGAATTAAGACATTAATCGAAAACGACTAGAATGAGAATTCACTTGAAATGCATATTTTCGGAGAACATGTGCATTAAATATTTACTTCAATGAATAATTTTCGCTGAAGAGAATTAGGATATCAATCAAAGAAGACCAGAATAAGGATTCTTTTGAAATGCAGTGCACTGCAACATATATTTCTTGGAAAAATTATTTACTTTAATTTTATTACTTTATAAGGTATTTCTCCCACTTCCCTAGCGTGCCTTCGTGGTGTAACAGTAGCACGCTGGGCCGATATTCCAGAGGTCCCGGCGATTCCCGGCGAAGGCGGTTGCATATTTTTCATCTTTTCTGCTTCTAAATAACCTAATGACTCACTTGAGAATTACTAACTTCAATCAACTGAACTAGCAATTATTTACTATAATGAATAATTGTCGTTATGATATCAATCACCGCATTATGATATCAATCAAAGAAGCCCAGAATAATGATTTATTTGAAATGCAATACGCTGCAATGCATATTTATTGAAAAATATGTACTAATTATTCGCTAATTTTCGCTGAAGCGAAATAAGATATAAATCAAAGAAGCCTAAAATAAGGATTCATTTGAAATGCTTTGGGCTGTACAGCATATTTCTTGAAGGAAATGTCTTTTAATTATTTTATTCCGTCAGAATGTTGCAGCGAATTAATATCCCAATCAAATAAGCCATGAATAAGTTTTCATTTGAAATGTAATGCACTGCAATGCATATTTCTTGGAGAAAATATCTACTAATTATTTGCTTAAATAAATAGTTGTAGCTGGAGCGAATTGAGATACGAATCAAAGAAAACCAGAATAAGGATTCTTTGAAATACATTAGGCTGCAGTTTATACTTTTGTAGAAAATATGTACTAGATATTTACTTCAATGAATAATTATCCATGCAACGAACTAGGATATAAATTGAAGAAGCGCAGAATACGGATTCATTTTAAATATAATGCCCTACAATGCATATTTCTTGGAGAAAATGTGCACTAATTTTTTACTTGAATGAATAATTGTCGCTTCAATGAATGAGGATATCAATCATAGAAGCCCAGAATGCGGATTTACTTGAAAGATATATTGAAATAATCAATGTGTAAATATAAAAGCTTTTGAAAGGAATTTACTCTGAGTGCGTTCTTAATCTGTTTTATTGGAATATTTGAACTCGCGGCTTGCGGAAGAATAAAGCCTTTACCCAGTAATAAAGGGCTGAAATTTCATTATTGGAAACATCCGTGTAGTTAATGACTGAGAGATTTTGATTAAGATGTTTCTGTCGATAATGGAAGCACAACGTAATGAACCTGTACTACAAAGTCACAAAACAGTTATTGCTTAATGCATTAGGTGTAGCCTTGTAAAAGTTGCACTTAGTGCGTTAAGTAATTTCTCATCTAATTTTGAATACGGTACTAAAGATTATAAAGCTACTCTTTTTTCTGAAGACTTTAGCACTTGGAGAGTATTCTATATATTCTATAAATGCGACCCTATGTTCTATGGTAATTATTGCTCATCTGGATAAGTACTATCCCCTCTCTTAATTTGTAAAAACAATTTAGAATTACCCTGTATATAAGACCCAAAAAAAAAAAAAAAAAAAAAAAAAGAAGAAGAAGAAGCACCAAGAAGGAGTTATCCGAATGGGACGAAAATCGGTAGAAGTGATGTATATGTACAGAACGAATAATTACAGTTTGAGAAAAATTGGATGATTTATTGAAGTGATAGAGCTTCACAAAGTGAAAAAGTCAGTAACGCGTTTGTCCACCGCCTACCCCTATGCAAGCAGTTATTCGGCTTGGCATCGATTGATAGAGGTTGCGGATGTCTTCCTGAGGGATATCGTACCAAATTCTGTCCGATTGGCGCTTTAGATCGTCAACATCCCGAGCTGGTTGAAGGGTCCTGGCCATAATGCTCCAAACGTGCTCAATAGGAGAGAGATCCGGCGACCTTGTTGCCCAAGGTAATGTTCGGCAAGCACTAAGGCAAGCAGTAGAAACATGTGCAGTGTGAGGGCGGGCATTATCTTGCTGAAATATAATCACAGGGTGGCGTGACATGAAGGGCAACATAACGGGCCTTGGAACTTCGTCGACGTACCGCTGGTGCTGTAAGGTTGCGACGTATGATAACCAAAGGGGGCCTACTATGATATGAAATGGCACCCCAGACTGGCTGTCGGCCTGTCTGCCGGAAGACAGTCAGGTTGGTATCACACCGCTGTCAGGGGCGTCTCCAGATTCGCCTTCGCTGGCTCAGTTCAAAGCAGGACTCATCACTGAAGACCATTCTACTCCAGCCAGTGACATTCCAGTACGAATAAGCCCGACACCACTGCAAACGGGGTTGATGTTGTACAGAGGTCAATGGTAGTCGGCGCAAGGGGCGCCGTGACCTCAGCCCCCTTTCTGTGAGAAGTCATGAACGGTCCTTGCGGTCACTAAAGCACTAGTTGGACGTACAATCGATGATAATGATGCATCTGGGGCTGTGAGTGCCGCTCTGACGATTGCTCGGTCTTCACGTTCTGTCGTTTCTCTAGGCCTACGCTTCCTTCTTGACGCTGTGGGCGGCCATGGTTCACCCATTCCTACCAACATCGTCTAATAGTGGCATCGCTCCTGCTCAAATGTCGAGCTATTCGCCGATAAAACCAACTGGCTTCTTTGAGCCCAACTACACGACCTGTCTCAAATTCTGACATCTGCGCATATCATTCGCGCACCTGTATGTGAGGCATAGTTATTGTCTACCAGAGTACACGGAATGAAATTCGTGAGGAATTTATGACCTGGAATCGTAATTTCTCCTCTTAAATATCCTGCGAGTTGCGCAGATCAGATGCGTTGTAGCAACAACCGTTCATTCATTGGCAGCCACAATGTTAAATTTTGCATTTTCCTTCGAAACCCATATGCATATCAATTTGTGTCCAATTTGCTTTATATCTTCTCGGTGCGTCGTTTTTTTTTGGGGGGGTCTAAGTGTGCATCTATATATATATATATATATATATATATAAAGTCATGTGTATTTTTAATTCATTATATATTTAGTCATATTTTGCAGTCGGAAAACATGAAGGACGTACTATATTTTCGCCTGTATTCGAACTCCGCCCCACTCTGTTAGCGCGACCTTCAAGAAACAAGGTCATCTAGCTCTGTTGGGATGTCATTATGAAGACTGTGTATAAACCTATCCCATTTGTTGAAAGCGAGTGGTCCACTCGCTCACAATGAATGAGATAGGCAAAATTAAGGGATAAAATTATTTACACTATTGCAAAACAAATGGTGCCTTTTATTCATGTGTTGAACGAGAGTGATTGATTCGCTCTCAATGAATGGGATAGGCCCCTTCGCACTCTTCATGGCGACGTCACGAGAGAGTGACGTAGTTCGAGTTTTTCGAAGGTCTTGATGCTAGCCGGACGTGCTTCCAATACATTAAGGTAAACATACGGAAAGGAGGAATAAAGTGCCGTACTCATGTAGTTAGCCTCATCTGGCTCAGAGTCTTATAATTAATACTCAGCTTAAGAAAACTTGCCGTAACCTGCTGGCTAAATGAGAATTTAGCTGCTTTGTCTACTTGCTTTTGACATTTATTTGGCGTCATATTATTTGGCGAGATAAATTTGATTATCTATGTTATTTGGCGGTTTGACAAGATTATTTCGTGAGATTTAAAAGTATAATTATTATGTCGAGGGATACTTGTTGCAAAGTTACCCAATAACATTTTCATATTTCTATTCCTTGCAAAGTATTTCCTTCCGCCTTTCTGCATGCCTTTGGTGTAACGGTACCACACGCGGCGCGTATTCGAGAGATTCAGGTTCGAGTTCCGGCTAGGGCATTGCTCATTTTTCACGTCTTCTGCTTCAAAATAACCTAATGACTCTGACTTAATAAAACATAAAATC